CTCCAAAATATAGTATACCTTAGGCCATAAAATTATACTGAATAAATTCAAAATATTGAAATCATGGAGAATATATCCTATTATATTTATTTTAAATTAGAAAACAAAAGAGAAATACATTTGGAAATCACCAAATATTTGGAAATTAACACTTTACAGAGCCCACAGGTCTAAAAAAAAAATCTTAAACTAGAAAACATTTTGTACTGAATGTGGCATAACAAAAGACATATTTAAAGAGAGACTTATAATTTTAAAGGACTATAACTTGAAAAAAAGGAAAATAAATAAGTTCTACCTTTAGGAAACAAGTAAAGGCTAAACTAGAAAAAGCAAGCAATAAAAAGTAAATAATGTAAATTTGAGCAAAAAAATGATGATGTATAAACACAAACAGAATACATAAGATTTATGAAACAAAAAGTTGGGCTTATGCAAAGACTAATAAAATTAACAAATCATTAAAATTAGGAATAAAAGAAGGAACATCACTACTGACCCAATAGATTCTCTTGAGAATGTTACTGTTTGTTCCATTGCATTTTTCTCTAGCGAATTTTCTATATGGAGCAAAACAAGATTCTATTGTATTTTTTTTTCAAATTTCAGGTATTTATTTATTATTTATTTACTTTTGCAGTTTTTGGCCAGAGCTAGGTTTGAACCCACTACCTCTGGCATATGGGGCCAGTGCCCTACTCCTTTAAGCCACAGGCGCCACCCAAAACAAGATTCTAGTTGCACTTAAACCTTAGCAGCATGGCATTGACATTTTGATACCCATTGCTATCAATATTCTTCCCCATTCGATTTCCAGAAGATCCCTTAACAATATGTTGATCTTATCACTCATTCTAAATTTATCTGTTTCTATATAATGGAGATTTTTTTAAACTAGTCATTAATTTAATCTATTTTCGGAGGCCTCTTGTAATCAAATCATATATCAACATTAAAAATACGGTAAGTCTTCCATGATTTCAATTCCTATAGATTCTAGGCTGTTTGACATTTCTGTGCTTAGCTCATGAAGGCACTGTGGATCAAGAGTGTTTGAACAGTTCCTTCCTTTTTAGAAACAAAGATGATATTCGTCCAACATGAGGTGTGTATTTGAAAGAATGTCCCAGAAGCTTTAGCAGTATGTCCTGATGGGTATGAGTATTGAAAGAGTGTTGGGATTTTTATAATTTTATGTTAGCTGAGCATCTATTTTGAATATAAATTTAAGTTTCTTATAGTATAAGCAGGGCTCAGTCACCCTTGACACAGTTTTCAGTTTTACACCTCCTCCCAGTTCCTCGATATGATTGATCCAGATATGTACTTTCTACAACTGACCCTGGGCACCACCTCACCAAAGGAGGTGAGATGTAACATACTTGACTGGTCCTTTGACCTCACACTCTGCATGGACTGCGCAGATATGCCACAGTATTTATCTCTTAGTCACATGGTTACCCTTAGGAACTCATTCTTACCTGTTTTAAACCTACAACTTAAGATCCCCATGGGACACCTGTTGGGATAATGCTCTAGAGTCAAAAAAGCATTAGCCCATGGATCCTTCTCTCTTTCTTTCTTTCTCTCATCTCTCCCTATGCTTCCTAATCTCTGTGTGTGTGGCTCTCGGACACCGCATGTACCCCCCAGGGCTCGTAAGTAATACAATCTTTATTTTTATCTTCTTCCTCTTATGTTCATTGAAAGGGTGCTCTCCATCTTAAAAATCCCAAATTAAAACAGAAAGAATGGGAATTTGCGACAAGAAGAACTTGTGACAGGTTGGCACACATACTCTTTGCTCATTTAGTTATTTTCTCAAGTTATTGTATACCATATATCTTCAACATAATTGATATCATCCCCCAAAGGATGAAAATTGGTTCTTGGATAGCAAAAGAAAGAATTCCTATTCCTGAAATAGGAATTTCAGTTGCTTATGAGCATCCAAAGAGCCACACTACATAAGCAAATACACTGCATAGCTGTGTTATTAAAATTTGGATGAAGAGTGAAAACTAAGGAAAAATGTCCCGAAAAAGATACCTAGACTATTAGGAAAAGTTGAGAGACATTGTTTTACATATGTAGAGAAATTAATGTTTCTTCTATCTAAGGGTATAAGAGTCAGATATAAGACATAGCGGTTGGTAGTTTTCCAAGATTCCCTCAGCAGTTAACAGGTTTTGTAGAGGCAGTGATTTTTTTTTTTTTTTTTTGCAGTTTTTTTGGCTGGGGCCGGGTTTGAACTGGTATATGGGGCCAGCACCCTACTCCTTTGAGTAGGTATATGGGACCAGTCCCCTACTCCTTTGAGCCACAGGCACCACCCAAGGCAGTGATTTTAGAAGATTATATTTATTTTCCCATTTCGGGAGACTTAATGTCTTTCTCTTTTGCAATACATTATCTTCCATCAATTAAATATTTTCTGAAGAAAATGTCCCTGTTAGATTCCCTTGAAATGGCTATTTATCTTCTATTAGAACTCTTCAGAAAACTCAGCTGACCAAGATCTGCATTAATATATTTATTAAGAGGAATTTTTAGGACCAAATTTACTGTATCTAAGATCAGACAGTTATGTATGCACAATGATATGCCATTAAACTGGCCCTAAGGATTTCCAAACCTTTATCTAGTAGGAAAAAAGGTTTCCAATGCAATCAAAGAATGATTTATGGTGAGCTTACAAACATTTTTCTCTTTTTGGTAGTATTCTAAATGAGCAGAAGGATATAACAAATATCTTATTCCTTGAATGATAGTTCTTTTTGCTATACTGTTAGTTTTTAACTTGTTCCACGTGAATCCCACATCCATATCTTGGTGTGATATGCCACCCTCCAGATGCCCTGACAACATGTGAGAATCACCTTTACCTTAAGTGGAAACGTAAGCATACACTGAGGAGTACTGTCAAAGGCCTACCATAGGGCTGTTGTCTGAGTCTCCTACTTGGTGATCCTTTTTGGTGTAGGCTGTGGTAGCAACAAGAAAGAATAACTCAGTGCCAGATTCACTTCCAAAATACTATCTGTGTTACAGTTTCATAGAGAGAGAATAATATCTAGTGTCTTGAAAACTATTTCTTACCCTCATTATGTGAAGACTCATGGATTATCCTTGAACAGTAGAGGACCTGCGGTAATAGGCAGGGCAGATGTTTACATTAAGATTTCTACAGTTCATCTAGACATTTCTCAACAACTACGGGAGTTACAGTGAATTTCAAGTTTCTAACTTTAAACAATGATAAAAGAACCTTTTATAAATTTGACTATATTTGATATTCTTTTTTTAAAAACTTGGAAAAAAATCCTTATTGGAGTATTTTTCTTATGCCTTTTGAAAGATTGCCAATTTTTTTCAAACATTTATATCAATAACTCTCCTGTGTATATGCATATTACAAATACTTTTAATGATTTTACTTTTAACATCTAGAGCTGGATTGTCCAGTATGACACACACCAGACAGAAGTGGCTATTTAAGCTTAAATATGAAGTAATTAAAATTAAACATTTAGTCCCCAAGCCACACTTAGCCACATTTTATATACTCAAAAGCCATATGTGGCTGGAACCTTCTATATTGGACAGTATGGCATTATAAAACATTTATATTGCCATAGAAAATTCTGTTGAACACAAATTTTCTAGAGCTACCACATGTATGCCAGTATAAAAGATACAGATGTTATTTAAAATTATATTTATAAAACACCTGTTTTTGAGAACTTAACTAGGATTTGGGGGGGAAGTATGTTTAAAAATAGAATTATATGCCACTACATTGTGATAAATACCTCTAAGTTTGTTTATTAACTTGTCAGGAAATAAGAAAATGAATTAAAGACAACAATGGCCTTGTATCAATATGTTTCTATTAAGTAGGCAAATGCATGTTTTAACTATTGTATGTTTTTTGGCCTAACTTTTCTTTGTATATAAAAATTAAAATTTTACACATTTACATAAATCTGATATTTCAAGATATTTTAATTGTTGACAACTGAAGAAAACCTCTAAACTTGATAAAATTTGTAACACAGTATTCTTCTTCAAAACCACTTCAGAGAATATTATTATCTATTTGAGATATACACAGTTTCACATTTGTTCCTTGGATAATTAACAAGATTGAGATCACTAAATCATATATCAGCCATTATTCCATGCATTTTTGAGAGTACTCTGAATATAGTAATCAAATATGTTCCTTATTTTGTCATATCTAGACTTTCTAATTATGTTGAGATTATTGAGAAATGATTTTATATGACATGCTTTCTTAAATATCATAGGTTGAAATATTGTATTTATGTTTATCTTTTAGATAATAAATGGTTGGAACGCTTCTGATTGTTGAATTTGAATGTTCTCTTTCACTACATTATTACTTTGGAGCAAATTTTAGACTATTGTTTTAAGAAGAGTAATTTAGTTCAGTCCAACTTTTATAGGTATTTAGATATTATTGAAATGTATAATTTTGGTAAAGACAGACTTACAAGAATTGTTAAACTAGAAACATGTTATTTGCCAGTGAAATGGTTTGGAGCTTTTCTTAAACTTCACTGGGTGGCAATAAAGAGACCATGTTTGCATTGCTCTGTATATAATAGTAAAAATTTTGTTTTTATAACACTCAATCCTAATAGACTGAGAATATTGAGTCTTGCTAACAAAATTATTAGCTGGCCACTCCCCATTAGATCTTATACAACAAAGGCAAAAAGAAGTGTATATTTGAAGTTTGCACAAACCATTTCACTGGCAAATGACTTCATAACATCTGCACACAGCATAGGAATCTCATAATTAACTTAATAAATACTTTGTTAAATTAGATTCTCTATATATGCGTATGATTTGTGTATACATAAAGGTGCATGTACATATGTAAATACCTTTTTTTCTTAAAATGTTTTCTTTTTTTTTCTGTCAGGTAATGACAGAGACTGACCATGCTTTTGCCTTAACTCTAACATCAGCTCCAGAGAATGAGCTGACAACTTACTTCCCAGTGAGTGTTTCTCCATTCCTACCTATGATCTCATGGACACCCTTACAGGTATGAACATGTCGGCAGAGAATTGCACATTTATAGGAAATTAGGCCTAGAATGGATAGGAGTTGATACATCTTGCTCTTCTTAATTTTGATAACATTTGGTTATAGCTAAACAGTATTAAAAAACTCATCCAAGTGCAGCAGCTGTGGCTGAAAGGAGTAGGGCGCTGGCCCCATATGCTGGAGGTGGCAGGTTCAAACCCAGCCCTGGCAAAAAACTGAAAAAAAAAAAAAACTCATCCAAGCATCATGAGTGTGGGCATAGTAATGGGGAGCTACAGATGAGTTACAATCACTTAGGTCTTTCTAAAATGGGGGATCTGTCTTCTACAATCTCATCCCAATACTGAGTCTGCTTCTATGAGACCATTATATCTCATCTCTTTATTTGAATGATTGATTAATCAAATGCACTTTTGATTTCTTATGGCCAGATATTTTTCTGTTCATTTTTTGTGACATAAGCATCTTATGGAACATATTCTCAGTAAACTTTCATTGAGAAAAGCCATAGGAGTAGATTATATTGAGTTTTTTAATAACCTGGTCAACAAAGAAGCAAGAGGTAAATAATTTTTAAAGAGTAAGAGACATAATTTTCAGTGGGATTTAGGTAATTTAGTCAGGTTTGGAAGTGAGCAAGAGAGTAAGGTGCTAATATTGAAATGCATAGTTATGGAACACATAGTTATGTTTCAGAGCTGTGTAAGGGGCAGCTTCCAATTTAAATAAGTATGAAAGAGCAGCAAAGACTGAATTAGAAATGGTGTTTCTCATCTTTTTTTGTTTTTTGCCTTAGAATATAACTTCCTAGGAAGTTACTGGAAGTGAATGTTATGAGTAGATTCATGAAACAAGACCCCTCAGACAAAGAGCCTCTTCACTTACTTATTGTCCAAGAGCCACCCATCAAAGGTAAGGTTTTAGTTAAAATAGCCCTTGTTTTCTAGAAGAAATCAGGTTAATTTTCTGAAGATTGATGACTTTTTGTTACACTCTAATTGGCTAAGGGCCAGGTTGCATAATGGATTAGGAGATAACAGCTTTTCCTGTATAACTTCATGGCTTTTCTACATCTCAGTACTTTGACTGTTAATCTGAAGGATACCCTTTTCTTCTGTCTTCTGATAGACTGAGCTCCTTCATGGCTGGATCCATTGTGTTGATAAAGAATTGTATGCATGAAGCACAGTAGGTTTTCAATATCTGTTGAACTAGAAGGATGACAGATTTTTCTGTCTTAAGTAATTGATCAAATTAATGGGAGTTACCTAGAGCTTTAAGTGCTCAGATACAGAAGGAATACTACAGACATAAAATGTGAAATTGTTGGAGATTCCCATCATTTTCTATCTTAGCAGAAGGACAAAAAGCCACACCAATATCTGGCATCCTTCATGTTGGAAAGCTGTAAAGGCATTTTTTCTAAAAATAGCATGTATACAGCTCTTGGAAATGTGACCTTCTCTGTGTATTCCAAGATAGATTTGCTCTAGTACATGTAGTGGAAGAGTAAATAAAAATTTCCATAGTCCCCTGACTTCTTAGGAATTGTTTCACACCTTTGCCAATTTTTCCCACTGTGTCCTGCAGGTGATGACCACACAGATGAGAAGTATATGTTACAATTGGTGCCATTCCTTCTACCACCAGCTTCATCAAAACAATGACACAGTCTTCCTGTGCTCGGAGACTCTTCTCTTCCCTGTGTTGCAGTGGATACCTCCTGCAGATAAGAAATGCTTAACTGAGAAATGCTCATATTGGGATATCATCGATGAGACTTTAATTTGGGCATGGTGACTGTTTCCCTTGCTGCCACTTGACTCAATCCCAGGAGCCTCAGTAGAGGAAATAATATTATACAAGATGCTCAAAATGGTAGAATTGCTCAGTGCTCCCATAATTATACATTAATAATTTTCATTTGCCACATGATAAATTTTAAAAACAGGCTATATTAAAAAGAAAAACTGGATGATTTTTTTCAAAAATTCAAAGTATATTTAAATAACTAATATATAAATTAAGTGCCCTCCTCTGTTCCAATTCTATCCCTATAGTTTTTCTCTAGTAAGGGAGTTATGTGCATTCTTTTAGTGGATAGAACAAATACACGCATAAGCTATTTTTTAGAGGGGAGATCTGGAAGTGTGGCCATACTGTAACACATTCTTCTGCAAATTGCCTTTCTCATTAACTATATTTTCAATGGCCCTTATTTTCAATAATGCATACACATCTGTATCATTTGTTGAATGACAGCATGACTGTTTTGTAGATAGAAGATAGTCAAATGTTTTAAACATTTCTTATTCATAGGTATTTATGTTAGCCCCAAATTCCTGTGCAATGAACCTCCCTTTTCTATTGATAATTTTGCATTTGTCTATTACATGATGAGAAATTACTTAGAAGTTCAATTTACTGAGAGTAAAGTATACATACACTTCAAATTTTCAAAATAATTGCAAGATTATGTTTTAAAATGTCATTGACAACTTTATCCTCAAATGGCAATGAATGAGATTGCCAACATTTTTACAACCTCACAGGTTGTAAAATTTATATTTAAATTTTTATATTTAAAATTTAAACTTTATATTTAAAATTTTTGTCAGTGTGATTACCCAAACTATTGTCTTAAATTGTATTTATTTTGTTTTTGAGTTTGATCATTTTTTCATGTTTATTAGCCATCTGTATTTTTTAATTTCCTTTTTATGTCTTAATTTTGTGAGTGGAGGGAGGTTTTAGTCCCTGATTTTTAAGAACTCACTATTTGGGGAAATAAGCTTTGAATTGTCAAGCATTACAGATACTTTTTGCACACTTTTAAACTTTGTTTTTGTTACAAGAATGTGTATGATTGTTATATGTCCAAGTATAACCATGTTTGCTTTTATAGCTTCTAAGTTTCATGTCATTTTTGGAAAGATATTTATACTGAGTCCATAAAACCCTTCACCTATGTTAACTTCTAATTCTTTTATGTTTTTTTAATTCAAATTCTTAGGTCATGAGAAATTTTTGTTTTGATATCTTAAAGTTGCCAAGTTATTTGCCATTATTTGCGATTATTTGCCAATAATTGCCCATTTATCTGTAATGCCATCTTGCGCATATGCTGTATTCTCATCTGTGACTGGCTCCATTTTTGTTCTGTGGATCTGTGTGTCTCTTCTTCTGCCTCCTGTCTCATGTGTCTTCTTGTTGGAAGAAATTACAGTTTAGACTGCAATTTCATCAATTTTAATAAATTAATTTAGGGGAGAATCGTTTTTAATAATGCTAACTCTTCGTATCCAAGGACAAGGTATGTCTTTTTTTATTCAATAATTTTAATTAGTGTTAATTAATTTTCTTGTTCATTTTCTGTATCTGAAAGTTTTGTTTTGGTTTTTGGGATAAATTATCACTTTACTGTTTCTTGTTACTTTTCAAATTTTTTTAATGTATGTACTAAATCCTTCGCAAATATTATAGTTTTGATTCTCCCCCCTCCCCTTCCTAATTGATCCTGCTTTTGGTTATGATGATAAAGTTCACAGAATGGTACTTTCAGAGCACTTAAACTATTGTGAAAATATTATCCACCTTTGATTTAATCAGGCTTTAATGGGATGCTTCTTTGGTTTGACTAGCACATTGTTGCTAGTCTATTTCCCCCAAAAACCACTGGAAAGAGCTATGATCAAGCAATGCTGAGTTTATTAAACTTACTGCAGCAAGGGAAAACACCACCTTGACAGGGTTCAGTGGAGTTTCAATAGCAGGAAATTAGGGATTTGGGGCATGAGATACCATGGTTTAAGGCAAAGAATTGATTAGGAATGGGCAAAATTCATCATGCAGTAGTTTAAGATTAGTTGGAGAATGAAATAAGGTTCTCATTGTAAGTCTTAATGAATCATTGTCTTAGTGAGCTGTTTGCCTATGTAAAGATATTATCAATGATAGAAGAGCAATTTGCCTAGAAGAGAAAACTTAATTTATTTATTGGTTTACAGTTATATCCTGCTGGGAAAGACTCTGCTTGGGGTGGTGTCAGGTCTTATTTCCAATAGGTAAGTTATTTTTATGTGGGTGGTTTTAATCATCAATGTGTAACATGCTAATATTAAGTTTGAGATATTTTGTGTATCATGTTAGGAAAGTCTTCCAGCTTTTATATTTTTCTAAGGAAGTTTAATCAAAACCAGGTGGTAGAGGTAATAAAATTCTTTTGGCAGAAATAATTTTACTATTTCTGTCCTTAAATATTTATCACTGTAAAATAATTGATTTTCAGTTATTGAAATTTCATCTTATTCCATGAATGAACAGACAATATTTAGTTTTTAAAAATTTCTATTCTTTTACTTTACTGCTGAATTATCAGCATTTTAATTTTATTTGGAATTTTTGCAACTAACTATAACTGATTTTCCTTTTTGTGCTATGTTTGTCATATTTTGATGATATATTTTCTGGTTGTGTTAAAATAATTTGATTATTTTCTTATTTTGTGCTCTAGAGTGGGTTGGAAAGCTTTAGGATTACTATCCATGTTTAAGTGAACAAACATCCATGAAATTATCTGAACTCTGTTTTTGGTGGATTAGAGTTGAAGAAAGGCTAGCTAGGATTTTTTTCCCCATTTTTCCCATGTTTATTGCTAATTTCTTTCTTTTATGTCTTATATTTAACTTGTTTGCTCCTAGTAAATCACAATCCATGCATATTTTCAAACACATTATGTATGAAGTTATACAAAGTCTTTCATCATTCTATTAAATGTCTCTTTGTTTCAATTATGTATCCATTTTCATTCCAATTTTGGTTATTTTTGCCATGTCTTTTTTAAGGAATAAGTTGTTTTTGTTTGTTTGTTTGGTTGGTTGTTGCAGTTTTGGCTGGGGCTGGGCTTGAACCTGCCACCCCTGGTATATGGGCCAGCGCCCTACTCCTTAAGCCTCAGGCACTGCCTAATGAAGAAGTTTTAACTAGTGGATTTTTAGCATCACTAGTCTTCCCCTCCCCTAGTCCCCCAATTAGAATCTTGGGTATAATTTATCAGTTGTTTTTTATGTTCTAATTTATTTATATATTTTTTCTGTTTTCCTTTTTTTTTCCTAAAAAATTCTTAAGCGTGTATAATATGTATATTTTCAATTGTTTTTGCATTTTATAGGTCTTTTCATTAAGAACATATTGTAGAATTATAGAGTATGAGGAAAAAAGACAAGTGAATTCGCAGATACCCAGAACTAAAACCCATGTTCCACCATTATCAACATTTTGCCATATTTTCTTTATGTTATTTTTAAAGTTTTATCAAATAAGGTAGATAAAGCATACTGTTTCTTTTTCCCCATAAGGATTTTTTAATTTTTTAAATCATAATGTATATTACAAAACAGTGGAAGGTAATTTGCCTTCTCAATTGGTCCTCGTTGGACACCTAGCTTCACAATTCTAGAGACAACTAAGGTTCCTAAGGTTCTTTCTTAAACTAAGGTTCTTTCTTTTCCTCTTTCTCTTTTGCTCACACACTCCTACCCACCACACTCCTATATATATATAGATAGATAGATAGATACAAACACATACATACTTTATATTGTTCTGTAACTTTCTTTTATATGTATATATGATATACATATATATGATTGTTACATATCCCTATGTAAGAGCTTCCTTATTATTTTTAAAACTTTATATTTTTACAAAGCTAAATACAAATCTTAATTGTATAATTCAACAACTTTCTTAAAAGTAACTGCTACCTTATTCAAAAGCTAGAATATTTTTATTATTTGAGAACCTGCCCTATTGACTCTTGCTGGCCAAGCAAATTCTCACAGGAAATAATATGGTTTCTATGATCATAGATTAGTTTGCCTATTCTTGAGATTAATGTAAATTAAATTCCACAATATGTGTCTGACTTGGCATTGAGATTCATTCTTGATATTTCCTGTATCAGTAGATTTTAATTTTTTTCACAAGTAAAATGTCTTACTACGTTAAATGAGATTATTATAATTTGTTAAATATTGATGAACACCCAGATTTTTTCTACTTTTTAGCTTTCTTGAATATGTTAGATCTTTTATGTAATTACCTAAAAATGGAATTTCTTGGTCATAATGTAAATTTTAGCTGAACTTTATAGGAAACTGTCAAAGAGTCTTCTAAAGAGGTAGAAACTTTCTACCTCCTAACCTTAGTCACATATGAGATTTTCAGCTACTTTCTATTATCACTAACATTGAAAATTGTCATTCTTTTAAATCTTATTCATTTCAATGGGTGTGAAGTGGATTTATTGTGACTTCAGTGAAATTCAGTCACTTCAGAAGGCTAAGAATTTTTCATGAAGTAATCCAGTTGTAAATCTTCTTTAGTAAAATTTGTTTATTTTTCCCAAATTTTGATGTATAATGTTGAAGTAATTTTAGACTTTGCAAATTTGACAAATTTTAGATTTTGAAATTTGCAAAAATAGTAGAGTTTCTGTGTATTCTATGCCAAGCTTTCCTAATGTTGGTGTTTTATGTAACCATTATTATAACATCATTACTGAAGACCATATTCAAAATTTTCCAATTATCTTACTGATGTTCTTGGTATCTAGTCCAGGATCCAATTTAAGATCTTATGTGGCATTTGTTTGTTTGTCTCCTTTTCCCCCAATCCAATTCCAAATATGGAAGAGTTCCTTTACTCTGTGTTTATATTTCATTAAATTGACATATTAGAAGAATACTAGATCATAATTTTGTACATTGGTACTCAGTTTGGATTTTTTAATATTTCCTTGTGATTAGATTAAGGTTGGACACTTTGGTTAAAAAAATAATCACTTGATTAAGGTAGTGTCTGGCAGGTTTTTCCACTGCAAAGATATTTTTATCCTTTCTGTGTAATTAATGTTTTGTGGGGAGATACTTTGGGACTATCTACACATTTTCTTTCTCATCTAATTCTAACATTTATCAAAGATATCCTTTTGGTAAATATGTCTATATTTAATTTCTTATTAGTTATTTTAGTATTTTTCTTCTATGTCTATGATAGCAATTAGCCTATCACTTTCTTTTAGTATTTATCAGATTTTGGCATCAGGTTTCATTGAATTTATTGAATATAGTCTCTTCCTCTATTTTGCTAATACAGTTTACTCTTGAACAGTGC